GAGCAGAAGGCTCAGTCTGTTCTCAAACTCATATTTCTTGACATCTGCAGTTATATCAAAAATTATCTTCATGGACCAGAATACATTTGCTTTGATTACTAATACCATAATTCATTGTGATAAAAAGCCAGAGGATTGGAATATGCCATCTCAATATCCCACAAACCAACTCAGAGTTAATGATGTTCCCTTGATATTACTGGCAGTTGATTTTTACTGGAATAACAAATAAAGACTAATTGTATAAATCAGAAGGAAACATCTAAGATAGAGATGTCAGCATGTTTAATTTAATGCCTTTGGCACAACTATGTGAAACAAAGCAAAGATTCCTTCAGGCATACTTTGTTACCATGTGGTTTCATTGCGATTCCTAATGCATAACAAAAGAAGTAATAGATAAAAGTAATAGATAAAAGATTTCATTTCTGCATATGCAGAGAGCAATCCTCTGGCCAGGCATTCTTACCCACCTCACTAAAGCAGAGCTCAGCTATACAGCCTCTGCATAAAGCTAAACCAAACACTAAATCCTAGTCTGACACAGTGTTATATGATATTATACTTATTAATAAATTGATAAAAATAATTTATACGTTAGGATAAGTAATCTCATATATGAACAGACCTTAAAATTAATCAGAATTTTCTAAAATGATTAAAAGTGAGGATGAAATACTGAAACCCACAGCATACATTTAAGAAAGCAGAAGACATCCAGAGGTAGAACAAGGATTTGAAGGGGTTATTGGGAAGAATGTGTGAGGTGAGGAATATGTAGAAAACATACCCAGTCCCACCACAGTAATTCTGTTGTCTGTACCTGGCCCAGATACAGATGGAGCTCGTTCTTACTTTAAGATCCCACAAAAGCCAGGAAGTATACTGGAAGCCCAAGTCTTATAAGAATATAGAGAGGAATTATTTAGGAGATTCAGAGTGAGAAAGCACTCTCTGAGTGCCTTGAGACACTAGCTGTACTGGGAAGGAAAGGAGCATCTCAGCCTTCCCAGTGCATCCTATACACCGTGGCTCCCAACGCAGCGCTTGCAGTAAGTGCTGAAAGCTCTGCACATCCCTCTGAGTCTCAAGAGTCTCTTGCTACCCCCTGAGAGGCAAGACCCTGTTTCTGCTCTTATCTTTTGCCAGTGCAATGTCTCTCCCTCGCCCCCTGCAACCTGCTCATCTGTTTCCCTGTTTCCCAAGAGAAGAGCAATCTCCCTTTTATAGTTTGATAACTCTTACTCTCCACTTTAAATGCACATCATGTACTTAGCAAGGTATTGGAAGGCAACCCTTCCTTTGGCAGACAGGTTGGAACTGGATGATCTTTAGATCATCCCTGCTAATCCAAACCACTCTATGATTCTATGATTAACATAGATAAAATTAATGAAAGGTGTGCAGCATAGTGTCTTGGCAGAAGCTGAAGGAAATCTACTGAGGCTCGAAACTGTGAAGTTTTTCCAAAAGAGTCCTTTCTCACTCATAACATACTGCTTTTGAAATACTGCCACAGTGTTTTCTGCTGAGAGTCTAACTTCTGAATTGCTTGTTAAAAAATAGTCATTGAAAATACTGTTTACTGTTCTATTTACAATCTCATCCTTTTTTGAGATTGCGAAAACAAGGACCTTCTTCAGGTGAAAATTTAAAAGTCTGTACAAAGTTGAAGAATGGAGAGATGTTTGTGAACTTTGCTGAATACTTTTCTAAAGTATCCAACAAACAAGTACTCAAGAAGCAGGAATAGTGATCCGTATTTTTTTATTTCACTACAGTAATGCCTGACCTACATCCAGTAATGCAAAAAAAAAAATCTCCTGCTGCATGTGTTCCTCTGGAAACAGGTGTAATAGTGAGCAATTTGAGAGAACAGAATTATGTTGATATATATACGTGGTAGTACTGCACTCTTCAGTTAGTTACCTGAGGTTCAAAAAATGATCTTTCTTTATCCTGGTGCTTTCTGGGTGAACATCAATCTTTTTGGGAGATTGCACCATATATCAGTGTGGGCTAGAAGATCCAATTAAGCGGCAGTCATAAAAAAATCTGTGCAACCACAAGCTAATAAATGCTGACATAATTTCTAAATGAATGGGTCACTGATCTGGAGTATTAGTCAACTCCTCTTGACCCAGGACAAATGATCCAGGCTGGCGACTCAGTATGAAGTGGGATGTTGGTGCTTGTCTCACATGAGCCAGTGGTGTCTGGGAGTCTGTATTTGCACCAGGCTGGCCCAGGTCCTGCTTGCCCAGAGATTCCTACACTTTTCAATTAACAGAGCCATCAATGGCTTCCTCCTTTACTTATATTTTTCCTGCATAACTTATGTACTTCCCAAAGAAGCCACATGTTTGCTTGGTTGATTCATCTCCCACTACCCTGGATGATGGAGAGATGGTATTGATGTAACATAATTTTTAAAAGCAAAAGTTTTAAATTTAACAGATGCCACTCAAATGGCCAAACATGTCATAAATGTATGTTAGGATGCTGGATTGTGAATGCAAATGTCCAAAACAGGGAATTAATTTTCTTCTGCAAATAAGATGCCAGAGAAGCAAGGCAGAGGCCTCTGGTAAGAAACAGAAACTTCAATGGCTCTTTCCTTTAGAAAGCATTTGTCAGAGTCCAAAGTACATATACATTATATTAAACTAATTTTTTTCTCCCCCATTTATTTTGCTGAAAACTTCCCAGATGTTATTTCATAGCAATGCTGTATACATTTGTATCTTTGATGGAGTTTCAGCTGAGGTCATTTAACAGATAAATTTTAAAATATGATTGTCTCATTTTCAATACGTGAAAATCAAATTAATGTCTTTCCTGCCTCTTCAAGTAAAAGGGAATAAATCATATTAGAAGAATAATTTAGGATTGCTTGTTGCAAAATTCAGTACAGTAAGTACAATAAGTTTCAAAATTTGAATAAGACATTTTTGTATATGAAGCTTCTACCTTGAAGAGCAGGGGAAAATGATATTGTTGATAAATGTTGATAGTCTTTTCTGATTATTTTTAAATTTTCTTTTATTTTTTTTCCAGACAAAAGGATTTGGCTATGAAATGAAATAATCTTGCTAAGAAAAAAGATTCAGTCATGAGCCTTGATTTGCCTTCTGCTCCTGTTTGTTTGTTTTAATTTTGGACATTTCATTCCCTCTCCATGCTTCAGATTAATCTTCTGTCTAAGAGAGTTGGTACCACACACTTGGCTCACAAAGATTTTAACAAATGTTATAAACTCATTTAACTCCTGTTTAAAATAAATTACAATGGTAAAATGGGAAGCTGTGTATAAATACAGAGCATTTTCCTTGAGTAAGTTCTGCAAGAACTGCAGCAGAGCCATGGCATTCACAGTGTGCTGAGACCAGTGAGTATGAACACCACTAGGCTTTAGCAGGTGACCATGCAGCTTCAGGGTGTTTTTTCTGGGGACAACACAGACCCCTAAACTGCTGTGGTTATGTGACACTTTTGTATGCCAAAACATCCCCTGGTGTAGTGCTTGAAAGAAGAAATATACTTTGTTTCCTATGGACCAGATTTCTGCATTTGGTGGATAAAGAATGATGCTTCTGGCAGCTCAGGTAACAATGAGAAGCACCCTTTAATTAGTCAATAACGTAGGTGTAATTGTTAAAATGTGTGCTTGATTATTATTTCAATAGTATCCTGAAAAAACTTTTTATTTTCTTTGTACTGCCTCAGATTTGTGTCCTTCCTGCTAAAGATGGTGAAGCACTTGATAAATCAGTGGCTGTATAGTGGGGTGGGTAAAGCAGAAAAGCAGTAATTAGGATGCCACAAAACACAGCCTGAGGATGACAGACTCACTTTAAAAGAATAATTCATATACAAGGAAGAAATTGTGCTCCAAATAGACAGAATGCAAGAATAAGTCAGGTCTCTTCTCTTTGTGACATAGCTTGTTGCTTTCATCCAACTACAGTAATAATACTCTTTTCTTTGTGCTTGCCAGAATAAGGGCAAAGAAAAAAATAAGTTCCTCATTAGTATCTACTTTTATCTCTCTGTCAGGCTTGCACATAAGATCTTGGAATGCATTTACATATTAACTTTTTCAGTCAGCCTCTCTCAGTCAGACTTTCTGAATATCTGACTATTGTTATTCTCCCCTTCGCTTCAGTAATGGAAATGAAAACTTTCATGTGTTCATCAAATCTTTTACCTAACTGATAGAAAAACAGCATAATGATATTAAATTTGGGATAGTTTGATAATTCTCCCCCTCCAGAAGACAGTATAAGATTTATGAAGCAAAAGGACATGGCCACTCCAACAAAGAGTATCGCCATGTGCATAAGAAATCCAACTGGAAAGCTGCATAGATCAGCTTTTCCCAAACACAGCTGAGGGGGAACAGAAACATGGGATATCTTGAAGATGAGAAGGGGAAGATGAGAAATGCCTTCCTTTTAAATTACATAAGACATCATGGATTTATTTCTTTTTTTGATATGAAAATATTTCTGGAGGACTTCAGATGAGGAGCCAGGGACCTTGAGTGTTACAAAAGAATAAGATTCTATAATGCTGGCACTGCAGAGTTGATGTTCAAATGCAGCTGCTGCTATTGCTAATGCCTCACCATCACATGCCATCTTTTATCTTCCTTCAGTTAAACCCACACCCTTGTTGCCATTGCTTTCAGTATCACCACTATTTATATGACAGCTGTGTCCTCTTTGAGTCACTGGCCCAGGCTGCTCCACTGAGTCTTGTGACACAAGACTCAACTCAGCTCAGGGGAAGTGGAAAGGGGAAGATCTTCTGGCGATAGATAGGACACTAAAGTCTTCCTTGTAGAGAACTTACCAGATTCAAGTAGAGGAAAGGTGGCGTGTGTGGGTCTCACTTGCCCTAGAATGTTCAAATTATGTGGCATACTTAAATCAGCTTCAGACTACTTATCTCTTGGGAAGTGATTTAGTTATGTGGCTTTTTCTATATATCTATCACAGGACTGTCATGCAGATCAGGATCACATCTGAAGTGGAAAAGAAAGCAACTGAAATATCTGTAGCTCTGGAAGCCATGCAGCGAAAGTTGCTCTGATGCTGCTGGGCCTGTGAGTATGCACAATCCTACAGCCTTTTCCAAGAGGGAGAAATAAAGTTTGTCTCAGTTCTTATATGGGTGAAGCTGAGTCTGACATCCCTGTATGTGACATTTATAACAAAAGCAAAACTGGCCCCTGTTCCAAAAACTCCACTGAGATGTATGGGATTTTCATAGTCCTGATTTCTGCAAATTCACTGTGCAAGGACATTGCAATTGCTCTTCATCCATGTGAACAAGGTTACTCATTCAAGGTAAATACTTGGTGAAGTATGAACAAGGTTACTCATTCAAGGTAAATACTTGGTGAAGTAATCTGGAAACATGGCTTCACTATTAAATTTGTGGCATCATTTCACTGAGGAGCAGGAAGAACATGTAGGTTCTCTAGGTTTAAAGCTAGTAATAAGAAGGGAAACATTTCAATGATGAAATATTAAAATAAAGATTTCATTGTCTTTCATAGTGTTGTTTAAATGCATCATATTTCATATCTGTGTTGTACATCTCCTCAGATAAATCTACTTTTTTGCAGAAAACTTGCAAAGCCAGAGATGTCTTTCTGTCTGACCATGTGCCATATTTTACCTCATTACCTTTCTCTTGAGAACATTCTTATGAAGAAACACAGGGAAATTATCTCTGATTTTCAAATAGGGACATGAAATATGCTGATACCATCTATTTTCTCTATCAGAAACTCACTCTCTACTTCTTTCTTCACTATACCTTACTTTAGGTCTCTGTTTTCTGAAGAGTACCTATTATTTTGGAGAGTCCTATTGATTTGGGTAAGCACTGTAAGAAATTATTCCCTAAAACACTACAACAGGAATGTATGATGAGGTTGAAAGAAAGTATTTTGTCTCTCCCAGTCTCTGTTCTTCCATTGGGGCTGCTTCCAACAACAGGAGCCTGTAAAATCTGAAGTCATCTGACTCCACTACAATAATTTCAGAAGGAAGAAGCTCATTTTTTTCACATCCCATTTCCAAACTTTTGTAGGCATCAGTGATATAACCCAAGGACTCTGAAGAAAAAGCTTATATCTCCTGTGAAAAAATTTATTCCTTGTGCAATGAATTCCTTATGATGTGTGATATCTTGTCAAATACTGCACTTTTAAAATTACTGGGTGCTTTCCAAACCACAGAGAATTGACAAAACAAAACAGACAAACTGCAAGGAAAAACTCTGGGTGACACAGTGTCTGCAATCACCTTGCTCTATTTTGGCTCATTGCCATGAATTAAAATACCAGGAAAAATGCACACACTGGGATGATTTTTAAAAGAAAGAAAAGATAGAAGAATAAGAGAAGAATAATAACAATTCAGGAAATACAGCATTGAGGTTGATAGATCACCTGAATCCAAAGCTCTAATTTTGTTGTGTTTTCCTCCCGCTTTTTTCCACTTCAACCCTGAAGGTTTTCTCTACTAAGAAAAAAAACCTTCAGTCATCTGCCAATCATCTGCAAGTGTTTCTGTGTCACAACTTTACTTCCCCCTTTCTGCCAGGAAAGGAGTTGCATTGTCAGCTCACTGAGATCCTCTGCCCTGTAAGCAGTGCCAGCAGTACCAGGATGAAGGCTCTCTGGGTGACTCTGGTGCCAAGATGCTGGTCCTTTTCAGTCACCAGACTAGGAGCAGTAGTGGCCTGTAAGAAGATACCACTGCCACATTTGCTGTGAAGTGCTCCACAGCTAGGTCCAAACTGCAGTCTTTCTGTGCCCACACCTCCAGCAGGACAGCTGAGGCAGGTCCCAGAGCCTTTTGTTGCTGCTAAAGTATGAATGGAAATTGTACAAAGTATAGGGACAGGGGAAAGGGAATGAGGGGAGAGCACCCAGTGGGTGTGCTGGAAGTGGGCTGACACAGATATCTGACTGCAAGCCAAGAGGCTTGACCTGGCTCATCCACAGGCCACCACACATGCTTCTTTTCCTACTTGCAGAGAACAGGATCTCTTGCTTGTGCTTCTACTCTGCCACTCCTGAAGGATCCCAGAAGGGGAGTCATGCCCCATTGCTACCCAGGCTGGACTTGGCAGTGCCCAGCAGCTGTGATATTGATTGTGTCAGTGTTGCCCTTCACCAGCATTGCTCCAGTGCATAAAGAGAATAAGGCACAGCCCTTAGCCACCATTGCTGCTACACCAGGAACATGATAAACACAGCACCAGGCATTAGAATACACTCATCCCTAGTGCTGAGGTTTTTTCAGCAGAACACATAGTCTGACTTCTTTCCAACAAACAGACACATTTTAGTAATAAGAAGACCAGTGGGTTGAGGGAGAGACTAGGCAAAATCTGGTATATTTAAAAGCATAGGTGTATTTGTACCTTGTGAAGCCAAGCAATAATGCCTACAGTATGTTCCAAGCTGTTTTCAATCTTAAAATGCTGGAAGCCAGCTTATATACGGCATTATTTCCCTGCAACAAACAAATAACACCCTGTATTCTGATTCAAGAAAAGAAAGATTGTCCATAAAGCTTTTAAGTTAGTAAATTTTAAGGTTGCATTTTTAAATAGACACTTCAGTAAAACTGGACTGAAGGGTAGTCTAGGGATCTAAGTTAATGTTGATTAAAATCTGCTTACACTTTTCCTGTCTACTGCTGTCACATTGATCAAATGTACTATTTAAATTAAATTTAGTGATCTGAAATTATATTGCTATCTATGCTGACAAAATAGGATTGTCTTGAAGATATTTATTTTATTTACTTGTGTGCAACTGAAAATGCTTTTAGGAATTACAAGAAATGCACTCCTGGTTTAAGTGGAAACATCTTTGCTCCCACCATTATCTTATAAATCAAAATGATCTCAAGAAAGACTATATTAAAACAGTAAAAAGTGAGATTATTAGCTGATAAATGGCTATCAAACCTTGAATTTCTGACTCAGATATTATTAAGCCTCCTTTAGAAACTAGTAATAAAAAATATAATCCAGGCTCTCTGTTTACAGTTACAATGTGGTATCAGCAGTGCTGAAGCTCAGCAGGGATTGGCTTTAAGTGCTTCTCTTCTTACCTCCTCCAAAGTATCATACTATGGATTCCCACTGCAAAGGAGGGTGGGCAAGAGTCACCTAGCTTCCACAGAAGCTGGCACCTAGCAGAAATGAGCTCCTGCATCCTGGCAGTAGCTCAGACAACTTATCTGAAACAGACATGGATAGCTACAAATACTTTGTGAAACGTCTGTAGTAGGAAAAAGCTCTAGCCAAGCCAGAGCCAGGATTAAAATTTTTTGCTTATGACACATTACACACAGTGGGCGTTTGCTGACAGGGCCAGGAGTTCTATCATAAACTCATTAATTTAAAACAGAAGAAGAGTTTAATGTTTTTCTTTTCCTTTGTTTTCCTCCACTGCATAATTTAGCATTCCAAAAATACTGCAGATTGATGATGGTGACATCTGAATTCAAAGAAGAATTCCTGCAAGGTCTACAGCTAAGTCATTACAGTTATTGACTCTCCAGTCTGTCACTGATTTTCTTGAGAAAAAATGAGTACTGACCCTTTTTTAATATTATCATTTATTAAGATCTTTGAATGAGAGAAAGGGTTTAGACTACTTAAACAACTCACACAGAATGACTTATACTGAGGTGTTTATATCTTGTTTTTCTCTACACAGCTTGCTTAAAGCACATTTCCACTGGCCTGGAGCCATTGTAAAAAGATTTATATGTGCTCACACACTAGTAAGCAGAGGACACCTTAGTTTGTTCATTGTTCTAAAATTCTTAGAGTCACTTTTAAGAAGCTATTGTGTGAAGTTATCACTGAAAACTGGACAACTATAGAAAACAGGATGCCTGTATATTTTCCAGCATAGGGAACCAGCTGTAAGACAATGGATGGTTTATAAAACTGTAAGAGATTAAACATCATCATGAACAGTTGCTTTGACTATTTTTACAGCACTGATTTCTCTCTCACAAACTTAGTCCCTTCTCAGAAAACCTTTGCACATATGTTGAAGTTTACACTTTGGCTTAGTCCATGGAAGATGCTGAGAAGTCACACAAGCAAGGAGAAGGAATGTATCATGGTAATGTAGTAACATTCACAGTACTGCATGGTGGATGGCTCAGAAAACAGCCTGTAAGCCATGTCCTAAAAAATCAGTTCCAAGTCCTGCATTCTTATTTAAGAACTAAATTTTATTTATATCTTTTATGTGAGGTTTTATTTTTACCTCAAGTCATGTATCTCCACGATGTCAGGAAATACACTTCTATCATTTTAAGTGATGTTTCCACAGAGTGAGCTTATGTCAGTCATCATCTTACACTATACAGCGACCCTTCCTATTCTATCATACATAATATACCTACAGGAAACAAAGAGAAAATTGTATTATCTTCTCTAAAGTCTATCAGAAAAGCAAGAGAAATCTGAGAGGGAACTTCCTCTTGAAGGACCATGCAAGCTCCACACAAAAATCCAATTTCTGACGTTCATCTGCTGTCAGACCCTAAGCAGATGGGATGTGATCAGGGCTGGGTACAGTGTCAGAGAAGCCAGGTGAGCAATGAGGACAAAAGCAGGTGCTGGCCCTTTCAGCAATAAGTCTGCTAAGGTGTGTCCTGCTCTGGGTTGTCAAATGCAGCAAGTTTTTATTGTGAAAGAGACATTTTAGAATTACATCTGTCTTCACTGTAAAAAAATGATTGTTGTTCTTCAGAGTCCAGCACACAACCTCCAGAGAAAAGACTCTGAAACAGTAATGAGGGTAATTTTTCCTCAGTTAATCTGTAATTATTTATCAAAGATGTTGAGTCTCAGTACTCCTTAGCCCAAGAGACAAAAGTTAGGTGAGTCTCTCATGCTCTCTCAGTTGGAAAAGATATGTGTCACTGAAGCCTAGATGACATTCAACAGATTCTTGTTCCTTATGACAGGAAAGAAAAGGGACTTCTTTCCATCCTCTTGTATGTTTTGTTTTTTTTTTCCACCCTTTTCCTGGGGCACTTCTGTGCAACTGAAGTTGTATTTCGCTGAGGCATGTTATTTTTTAGTTTTAAATAGTGTTCAGATTCTTGGAGGGATCATTGCTCAATAGCAATTATACAATAGAGAAAACCAGATACATGATTCATTCTAAGATAATTGCTCATAAGTGTTAATATTAAACATAGCAAGCAATAGACCCTTTTGGAGGTAAAGATTTTCCACAGAAAATTTCACAGAATCCTTTAAGATAAATCAATTAATCTAATTACCCTGAATGAATTTCAGTATAAAATGTACTTTCACCTCATACTATACATTTCAGTTTATGAATTATTCCCAGATTTGGGTGAAAGAAAACAGCCATAATAGATAATAATCTAAATACACATTGAGGAAAAAAATAAGGAAAATATCACCATGCAGCAGCACAACAAATTACAAATAACTTTTCATTCTGGAGGAATAAGAGTTTATTCCAAATGTTGAAACACATTTAGCCTTTGCTATCCCATTTTCATCCATAGATGAAACAGATCATGTCTGCTGTGTAGATATATTCATTAAGCAGTTGAGGATGTCTACGGGATTTGACTATTGACTGAAGTCAACAGACACCTTTTCAAATGACTGCAGTAATGAACATTTTGAAACAATCAATTTTGCCCTGGAAGCTTCTGTTGTCTTCATTCATTTAAAAACACGATAAAACTTTGTCAAAGAAACATTTGGAAAACAGTCTTATCACTGCAGGAAATACAAAACCTATTCATTACTCTTTGTATCCAACATGAGGATTGAAAGTATATAGAGGTACTTTTTAAGGCAATCAACAACAAATATCTGCATCTACATTAGCAATAATCTGGAAAAAAAAATAATCAATATCCTTACCCCAAAACTTTGGTGGCCATGTGATTGGAGGAAAAGTACTGTTCTTATCCATAACATCCAAATAGCAAACACAGATTGCTACGTCCACAGAGGAGCAATAGTTTTCTGAATGTTTAAGATTTTGCACTAGAAGCAAAGCTTTTGTGCTGCCACAGAACTGTGTTGTTTGCCTGAAAGGAAATGGATGTATCACATTTCCTGCTTGTGGACTCGAATTAGTAAGTGCTTGCCTTATCTTGGAACACCACACGGTTCCCGAGACAGGGAAGTAGTTTCCTTCTCGTCATTTCCTCAGCCACAGCAAATGGACTCAGAACAATACCAAGTTACCTCCTTCTCTGAAAGTTTTTGAACTCCTGAGATAGAGAGAAGAAAATTCCTTTCTCTTTCCTTTAAGGATTTTCTATGTTGGAGACATTCTTTCAACATCCAAAAAGCAATCGTATATGGTGGGAATTTTCAATAAGAATGAAATAAGAAAGAAATGCATCAAGAGGTTTTTAATGGACACCAATTCTTTAGGATATTAATTTAGTGTAGAGGATGGTTAAGTATTCACCATTGTTCCTTGGCTGGTTTGAGGAACTAGATGGGCCTGACAGTGTAACTGTAATTTTTTTCCTTTCCACACTCCAATCTGAAATACGAGTTCCCTGGAACACAAACAGACTTTGAGCTAATTGCTTGGACACATTTAATACAATGCAGTGTTAATTCCCCAATGGAATGGTAGGTACTGCTGCTATATATAACATACAGCAATAACAACATAGCTACAAGAGAAAATAGCCAGGATGTTTAATGACATAGACCTAGAATCAATGGAGAATCAATGGACATGGATAAAATATATGACTTTGTAGAACTGAGTTTTAACTATTTTCTTAAACATTCTGCAGTGAATGGAAACCTCTGTTCTCTGAAAAGGTGTATGAGGGTTTTCTTTCCCTTATACTATAAACCCCCAAACAAGCCCAACCTCAGAATTAGCTATATTTATTTTTCACAATAAATATTTAGAATCTCCTAAATTTAGGACTATTCCAATCTTAAGATTTGGATGTGGCATAATTTTAAGGCTGAACCTTTTCTGTTATGGTTCAGTTCTCTTTTGTTTTTAAAAATACTGAGTAAAGACACCCTGATGGTTAATGGAAATGTAGTTTTCAAAGCTTGTGCTTAAAATGGCATATCAAATACTGGGCTAAGAACCTAAATTAAAAAGATCTGATTTTCAGATGACTGTGAACAAGATACAACTTCATAACAAATTCTGTGGTTATTTAGTTTCAGTTGGGACACTGATACCAGAATACATGCTAAAAATATACAAAATAAATGGTTATTGACTAGGGTTAGATTTGTGCTCTAAGAGCATATGGAAATAAACCAAAACTGAATAATTATAAGCTCTAAAATGAGGGAATTAAATTATTTCCGTTTACTGACTACATCTATTGAGATGATCATTGTAAAAAAGAATTGAACACAATCTAGTTGAAAAGCATCTGAGTTCAGAAATGAACATGTGTACAAATAATTGCACATTACACATAATCAAGGGTACTAAATACAAACCTTTGTGGAAAAGTCGACAGCGCTGAGAAATAGGAGAGTTTCTGCCTTGACAGAGTGTTCCAAGATGGGTGTTTTCTTGCTTTCCTCAGAAACAAGCACATGATATGGGCAATTATCAGAAGCAGATCAGAGAAACTGCACAACCTGAAGTCTTATTGTGCCACATACCCACAATGCCTAAATGCAAAATGCAGCAAACAAAGTTATAAATTAATAAAGGTCATGTGGGTTTATACTGGACTTGCTAAGCAGGAGGCTCTCTCAGGTCAGTTTCAAACTGTTTTTCCACTACTTTCTATTACAAGAAAAAGGAAGAATTGCTTATTTGGGCAACAAAATTTACCTAAAAAGTCTACAGCATATCACATCCTAAGACAAAATAATAGAATGTTTTGGGCTGGAAGAAACCTTTACGATCATCTAGTTCCGACCCCTCTGCCTTGGCAGGGTTGGAACCTTCCACTGGGCCATGTTGCTCAAAGCCACATCCAACCTGGCCTGGAATGCTTCTGGAGATGGGGCACCCACAGTTTCTCTGGACAACCTGTGGAATCTTCAACAAAAAGCTAAAGCAGAGTGATAAATCCTAGACTCTTCTTAATTTATTATTTTAAGTGCTAGACTAATTTTATTTCTGTTCCCTTTTTTCCTGAGTATTGCAGAAATATATTTAACTGGTAACACCACAGGTTCTTTCATTTTTCTTTATTGAGAAGTAATAAGTATCTTTTCCTGAAAATAAAATCATCATAGCTCAAGGTACCCTCATGGGTAAAAATGCTCATCATCTTTCATTATACTGGCATGTATAACCCACTGCCACTTCTGACTGATGGGATATGGGGGTATGTGGGTGATGAGATGTCAAATACATTACTGATGTGAGTTCAATTCCAACCAAATGAGCAGTCTTTTACTCTTTGAAAAGCCTAATTTAATTCTGTCCTTAAAGGTTTGGAATGCACTGATTAAATTAGGGGAGGTGCTTTGAATTGACTGCAGCGCTTGCCCTAATCCTGAGGAAACAAAGGTGTGTATATATTGAATTCTCCTGCATGAACCCACAAAATATTCTTATTTGAAATAAAATCAGAGTTCACGGGAAAAAAAAAAAGAATAAGAATAGAATAAGCATCCAAGCATCCAGTGAAACTTTTTCTTTTTTTCTTTTTTTTTCCCTTTCCATCTGGAGATTATGATTTAAGCTGGGATTTCCTTTAATTGTTTCATATTTCAGCAGTCTCATATTTGTCCTTGGTTAGTTTTACAGCTCTCCGGATGTATGAAGAAAAAACTCAGGAATTTTTTTTTATTTGACCAGTGATGAAAAATGTTCCTGTCTACCATCAAACTATCAATGTTAAATGCTGCTCATAATGTGACAAAGGGCTGAAAAACTACATCTTGAATTTACAGGCTTTAATGACTCGCTTCAAGTTCAGACAACAAAGTTCTTGAGTTTACCAGCTGCAGGTTAAATGTTCTACTGCCTCATGGTGGCTCTATCAGAATACACCTTCCAATATGATGTGGCTGCTATGAATGACCAGAAAAGTGGCTGCAATAACATCACCATCTTAGAAAGCACATTGGTTCCTGGGAGTGCGTTAGTTGTTACCAATTTTCCTCCGTATTTTTCAGAGAAAGAATTGTGAGTAGGAATGTCAAGAGAATTTCAGACATTCGGTATTTTTCGGGAGCTGTGAAATCCTAAGGACATAATATAAAAAGAAGATTCCTCATTGCTAATCATGCACCATTATGTGATTGAGAAGACAGTGTCACTGTGCAGTATATGAATATTCTTTTATACTCTTTTTGTTTACTGGAACACGTGTAACATTTTTAAATACAATATTCAAATGAAAACTCTGAAACCATATTTTTTCCCTAATATAGAAGTCTTATATTATTCAGTGAAAGATGACTGAGAGACATAAAAAGAGGTTGAGGAGAGAAATTCCTTTCTGCCAGCTTTCTGATTCCTGTTTCTTCCCATGGTATTTGTGATATTGAGGACTGTGTGTATTTATGTGTAGGAAAAGTTAAAAAGGAGAGAATTAAAAGAGGATACAAAGCAAAATATATTTTATATTATTGCATTTCACCACTGGTTAATCTTAAGGTCAGAGAAGGAAAAAAAAAAAAAAAAAAAAAAAACCTATTTTTGATTCAGGTTTAAATATTTTAAATAAAATGTATCTCAGAATCACCCCAGGGCAGTGGGTCCTGCTGGGAGCAATAGTGGTAAGTCATGTGGGCAAAAAACAATTTTAGTATCTTGGTGCTGAATTCCCACAGGCTAGCTAGGCAGAATGGTGTTGAGAGTTGGCATTATGGGGCTCGTGGGAGTCCATCTGCACACCTCAGTAATGGATGTCATCCTCGGGGACACAAGAATGTGAACAGGGGAGGGGGCAAAGATGAGCTATTTGAGGATAACTGAAAGTCAGGGACTTCCTCTCTCACTATTTCCTATCTAGCAGATTGATGTTTTGTGGTGACCTACATGACACTAGTGATTTGGAAAGTTGAGAGACACAAACTCTAACTTTTATCAGGAAACTAAATTGGAAATAACCATCCCAGAAGAGAATAAAACAAGGTACTGTCATTATCTAAAATTTCTTTCCTCACAGGAAATTAAAATGGAGGCATAAACTCATCTAGTATCAAGCTTCAAGTTGAAGCTTCACAAATAACTAAAGAGGATTATATGACATGATTGCTAATAGGGGCAGAAAATTGGAGTCAGCAAGCCAAAAAATCCTTTATTTGTTAGTTCTCTTACAAATGCATCCTGTGAACCCACTTCCCACACAGCAGATGAAAATGAAATCCACCAATATGCTTTCCAAAATGTAGAAAATGTTTATCTAATGGACAAATTTGTCAGTTTTGCATTAACCTACAATCTAAGGAAGATATTCACCACTATGTTCTTAGATTACAATATTTTCTTGCCTTCAGCTCTGATGCCAGAGGTCAAAGGACAGAGCGATAAACTGCGGAGTCTCTATTCACTTCTGCTGCCCTGAAAGTCCTGAAACATGCAGTGCTTAAGCATGACATTTAGTAAAGTCATTACTTTAATTCAGATTGCTCTTCTATTCTTTCTTCTTCTCCGTAAGAAAGGAACCAAGTAAGGGGACAGAAAGAAGCACCCAAAAGCAATCCAGTATGACAGCAACATTTTATTATAACACTTTGGTGGTAACTGAAAATTTTACCTCCACCTAACCAGTACTGGATAACAAAATAATCTCCTGCTGTTGTATTCTGTCCAATCTGCTGTTAAAAAGATGGAATGAAATGGAATCCATTTCTCCACTCCCTAGGATAGTCTGAAATTTACCTTTTCACTGAAATAATATTCACACATGTAGCTGTACTTGTTCACACTGAGAGATACTTCTCTTCCACAGACATAAGTCTTCTGGTGTGAGTAACAAGTCTCACTTACCTTTACAATTCACAAATCGTTTGGAAACAGAATTGCCTTTTTCCCAAGCGGCCACATGGAATTTAATGGACTTACCATGCAGCATTCCTTTTTTACAAGAAAAGAATGTATTCCTGTGTACTACCATTTGTGTGTGGAGTTGTGCACCAGTGAAT